AAAAAAAATTGTTTTTGTTTTTATTTTTATTTTTTCTCTATTATTTTTTCCTTCATTTTTTTTTTCTCTCTTTTTATTTTATTTTAATTATTATTTTTTCTTATTTGTTCTCCTTTTTCTTTTCTCTCTATTATTTTATTTCTTTTCTGTATAATCATAAGCTTCAAGCCATATCTAATTTCAATCCGAACAATTGTATATGCTCGCGTGCTTTGCCGCACCAAAAAGTACTTTATGTTTTTGTCCTACATCAAAATTTTAATATATGTTTCTAATATATAAATTGTATCTCTTCGATAGTAACAATTGTCCTGACAAGGACATACGAGGGAAAAAATAAAATAAAAGCAAAGTAAAGAAAAAAAAAAAAAAAAAAAGAGAAAGAAAAAAAAATTATTTTTTTTCATTTTATTGTTTACTATTTCATTCTTCCTTTTTTATTTTGTTCTTCTAACTTTTTATTTTTATTATTAGTATTTTTTTCTCATTTTTTCTCCTTTTTCTTTTCTCTCTATTATTTTCTTTCTTTTTTGTGTACTCATAAGAATATTTACCTCAACTAAACTTTCCACATTCATATAGTAAATAACTTATTTTCTTTCTTAATTTGAATAGGTACACCAATATTTGCCAAAACCTAGGACTTGAAATGCAATATTTCTAGTATCTTTTATTATTATTATTATTATATTAAAGTATTGTCCAACATCTTCTATACACAAGGCTCACCTGAATTTAGTAGTCGCGTTTTGATTCAACGCTCCATTAAAGATATCATTCACTTGTATGTGTATCAAGTCAACTTCCATGCTTGACACTTTTGATAGTACGCCTCAATGTGCTTCGTTCGTGTATAAAAAATTCAATTTGATGTAATCATAAGACTAATGTTATCGCTTCAAATTGAGACGCTGCAGTCCATGGCTCCTCTAAATTCAATCCTTTGAGTAATTGATTTAACCATGCACTTTTGAAGTGACCATGTCTAAAAACAAGATAAAGAAAAAAATGAATTAGTTAACAGACAATGTAGCTTTGCCATAAAAAACTCTAAATCCGGTTGGATGTAGAGAAGAGATGAATGGAGAACGCCATAGAATTAAGGGAAATTTATCAAAATGCACATTGGAAAGGGAAAAGTTTAAATAGAACCTAGGCTCTAAACCATCAAATTAGAGCCTACCTCAAAACTTTCATTAGAAGAGGTTGTTTTGATGCCCAAATATCATCAAATTGATCATCTCTACATCAAGATGTATGGACATGAGAAAAAAATAAATTTCAAATTTTAGAAATAGTGCACCTTGTAATGCATTTTTAGTCCGTCAATTTTCAATATTTTCAAGTTTTCATAGATCTGCTGCTCTATCTACACTATTTTTTAAGCTTTAAATTTTATAACTACAGATAAAAGTATAATTTAAGGCTATAACATAACTTCCAATATTGAAATTATATTTCTTGACAATATTTGAAGGTGCGCTTTAATTTGATTGTTTAGAGCCTCGGCTCTATACAAACCGCACCCCATTAGAAATGCACTAATTAACATTTACACATTTGTGCGGATTCCAACTCATGATTATGTCTATTTTTATAGCTATGCTGAAATCAAATTAAACGACTTGGATAAAATGTTAAGCAGTTCATATATAATGGTCATTTTGATAAATTTCTCTAGAATTAATTTAGAGAAAAGTATAAAATAAGATCATTTACACTTGGTATAAGGGAGTCACATTAATCTTGACCATTAAATATGAAATTGGGTGGCAACAATTATTTCATTGATCAAGCTCAAACTTTGTGACACATCCAAGCTATCAAACTTCACATTGAATGGTTGTAAATAATTATGATCACCTTGTATCAAGAGTAAATAACCTCATTATATACAATCCCTAAATTTAGTGAGGTACTATACACAGTTGCCATAAGAAACTCTAATTTCATTGGTGTGGAGAATGGAAGAAGGTGAACGCAAAAGAGCAAGAATTATTAGTGGCAACCTCACCAACTCCCATGTGTAAAATATGGAATGCCTATAGTGTTCTTCAGGGGAGCAAATTGTATATTTACTCCATTAGGTAACAAACTTCCATGGAAGTTTTTTTATTATTATTTAAACTTTTATGACCCGCTTTAGAATCCTAAAATCATTATTTAAGCAAAAATTCAAATTTTGCACTTTTAAAACCTTAGATCATATGGGAAAAGGGTTGGGGTCGTGATGGTAGAATCCCCTATACCTTAGTCACACATTGTGCTCTACAATCCGACGGATAGCTTTGAAGACCTAACTATTTAAAAAGATGGGTAGGCGCCGTGTTTCTATTGAGTTTCCCAAAAAAAAAAAAAGGCCTTAGATCAGATGGTTCAAATACTAAACGACTTTCGACATTACTTCATGCAAATACAAGATGCATATGATTGGTCCAAATACTAGACGACTTTCGACATTACTTCATGCAAATACAAGATGCATATGATTGGTCTAAATACTAGACGACTTTCGACATTACTTCATGCAAATACAAGATGCATATGATTTCTCTTCACAATTTGTTGCCTGGTAGAGGAGTTTACATCCCCAAAATGGGAATCCTATAAGTACTTCAAGTGGAGTTTTTACTCCGAAAGAGCGTGTACCCTCAGGAGCATTAAACTTTTGGCTTCACTCTAATGGTTTCACCAAACCTATCTAATGTAATGTTGCTACAAAACCTTAGCCGAGACTTTAGGAGGCATGCACTTTTGAACCACTCATAATAAAAAGGGATTAACAGAAGGTTAACTTTTGACCACAAATTAAACGACTCATAATAAAAGGGATTATAAACGACTCATAATAAAAGGGATTAACGGAATGTTAGCTTTTGACCACAAATTAAACGACTCATAATAAAAGGGATTAAAAGAATGTTAACTTTTGACCAGAAATTAAACAATAATTTTAACCCTTACTTTTTGTGGTCACAAAGAGCAATAGTGTGTGTTTTTCCTTTAAAACCCAGGCTGTATTTTTTCCTTGAAACCCTGCCATTGATTTAACATACAAGAGATATCAGCCGTTTGTTTCAAGGTTGCCGCCAAAATTTCAACGGTTATGGTTTCAAATCCACACAAAAATGGCATCAGCATGGATTAGGACCATTAGTTAGCTCCTTAGCTGGAAAAATGAGGCCAGGAGAGTTTCTAGTTTAGGAGGGAGTTTATAAAAAGATTTTTGTTTTTTTTTGTGGTAATCTGTTTGGGAGGTCCTCCCGGCATTTTGGCTTTCCGGCGAAACTCTACCATGATTGCCGGAGTTCTTGCTGGAAAAGCTCCCAATCCCGAATTTCCAGCGACTAGGGTGATGGCCATTCACGAATTCGTCCCTCTAGTGCATGAAATCATGCCTGAGAAGCTGTTGGATGGGACTAAAGACGACATTCTCTTGCCGGATCTGAAGCCATCGGAAAACAGAGCATTGATGGAGTTGAGGGCCAAATTAGAAGACGCCATTGTCAATAATAGGTTTCCAAAGCCAGAAAATGACTGGAAGAATGCGACCCAATATGTTGCGCCAATCCAGAACACGTCAGAAAGGACCCAATTGGCAAAACTTCCCGGTGAATCGAAAAATTCAAAGATTATCGAGAACAAAGGAATCGAATTATGGGGTGTCCCTCTTTTACCAAGCTTGGGCCATGAAGGCGCGGACATAATTCTAATGAAATTCTTAAAAGCAAGGGATTTCAAGGCCTCAGAGGCCTTCGATATGTTGTGGAAAACACTAATTTGGCGAAAGGAATTTAGGATCGATGATGCATTGGACGAGGAATACGGGGAGGGATTGGAGTCTGTTGCTTATATGAATGGCACTGATCGGAAAGGTCATCCCATTTGTTACAACTCTTATGGGGCCTTCCATGATAAGGTTCTGTACCAAAAGGCATTTGGTAGTGAAGAGAACTGTGAGAAATTCATGAGATGGAGGTTTCAGTTCTTGGAGAAGAGCATAAAGAAGCTGAAGTTCAAGGCAGGAGAGGTACATTCCATGCTTCAAATAACGGACCTTAAGAACTCGCCCGGACCGTCGAAGAAGGAGCTTCGAGCTGCTACCAAGAAGGCAATCCTACTGCTTCAAGACAACTACCCTGAGCTTGTGGCCAAAAATGTAAGCACAATAAACCCCGATCACATATTCTCCATATTTGGAATAAGTGATTTCAAAATTGCCATGTCAACTCAGAATTGCCTAAGTTCGTTAGGGATCAAGTTCATAATGATTTAGGAAAGGATTGCTAAAAAATTGGAGTAGTCTCCTGAGTCTAGTGTCCCTATTGTTATTTTCTCATAAAATCGGGCCTCTGACTAGACCAAGTGCTGACCAACTTGGGCTCAGGACCCTAGTCTAGGGTCCCTATTGTTAAGGAATCCTCCTAGAAAACCTGATTTTATGTTTGTCACCCATTTTCTAAAAAACTTTTAATTTTCTCAAATTGGCCCAATGTCAAACCTTGAAGGTTTGAAGTTTACTCTTTTTTCTTTATAAATTGTTCTTAACATTCAACTTGGGACATTCAAGGTCAAATGTTAGTTTTTGTTGTGTTTTGTTCTCAAACATCAATTTTAGAAGGTCCAAAATATATTTTGAGAACTTTTTTTGGCTATTGATTTTGTTGGTTTTTTTTGGAAACAACAACTTGGGACCTTCAAAGTCCAAAATTGCTATTTTGAGACCTTTTACTGTTCCAAACATTAATTGCAGACCTTAAACATTCGACGTAAGGGCAATTTGGAAAAAAAAAAAACCCAAAACCAAGGGGTATGAATGTAAAACCAAACTTTTGAGTGAAATTTGTTTAATAATTGTAGTTCAAAAAGATACTAGTGTAAATTTCTCTAAAATATTTTGTTTTTAGAATATTATTTTATTTTTCTTAGGGTAAATCAGAATTTAAGCATTAGAGATATTGTTATGTTGCACTCCTTATGTGCCTCATTTCTTGAAACCAAAAGTCCACATCCTATATCCATGCTAGAAATTGCCATTTCTCATTTGATTCTCTTGTAACTTTTTGGTTTCAGGTGTTCGTCAATGTGCCTTTCTGGTATTATGCCTTCAATGCAGTATTATCAACCATCTTGACACAGCGCACCACAAGCAAATTCATCTTTGCTCGTCCATCTCGAGTCATGGAGACTCTTCTCAAGTAAAGCCTACTCTTTTTTTCTTTTTCTTTTTTTTTTTGAACAGCAAGTAAAGCCTAATCTTTCTCATAAGTAACATTTTTATAGTTAGAGGGGAAAATATTATTAAAAAGATCAAACCACCTAAACAATTAACGAGGTGTGTGGTTTGATTGGCAGTTTACCGAACAATGTGATTACATTTCAAACTTTTTTCCATTTAGTGTAAGTAATACAATGATTTCACAGTTATAGCTAGTATGATCTCAAATATCCTGCCAAACATCTACATTTCAGTTTCTCCCTTCTTGTATCCATTCAATCCAAAACCCTGCCGAGATTAGTCCACTTTCATTCTGTTTTTTTTTTCTTTTTTTCTCTCTTTCCTCCTTGAAACAAGAGGGGAAGGAAGTTTTTCTCAAAAAGAATTTATTTTTTCTCTCATTTTCATTCCTTCCCACCTTAATAACCATAATCAAGAAAGGGGAGTGCAAATGCATATGGGAATAAGTGATTGATATCTGTCAAAAGACCTACTAAAGCCCTAAATCTTCTTAAGAAATTTGTAGAAAAATACCCAGATTGCCGTTATTCCAAGTTTCGAACCTTGAACAAGTGATGACATGGTACATTAGATAAATCATTTAAACCAAACGACCTAAATGTGCCCGACAATTCTAGGTTCTGAACCTATAACACGAATATTTATGAAAAAAAACTTATTATGGTTTTGGAACAAAACAAGTGACGGCGATTTAGTATATGGTTTTATGTAAAGTCATTCGAGCCAAAAGATGTAAATTCTAATGGTTGATCTGGGTTCCAAAATCATAATAAAATTAATTAAAGAAAAAACATATTTCAAGTTCAGAAGCCAGAGCAAGCATGGACATTTAAGTCATTTGGCTCAAGTAATTTAAATGGCCAAGTTACTAAAATGACTATATTTGTTTAGGGTTCCAAACCCAAAACATGGTTGGTTGGTATAAGTCTTTCCCAATATAATAGTTGATGAGATACCTAAGTGAGATGATTTTCTTAAAAAACTATTTCGTTGGTGAATTAGTTGATTTAACTGCCTCATGAATTGCTTAAAGTAGCTTGTCCATTTTATTGATTTTCTTCCTAGCTGTAGGGCGAATTTTGGTTTTATATTTTGCTACTAAAATAGATTATTTATTTCAAATAGGTTTATTGCTCCAGAAGACATACCAATTAAATATGGTGGCTTTAAAAGAGAGAATGATGAGGAGTTTAGCTCTATAAATGGTGCAGTTTCAAAGTCACGGGTCAAAGGCAGAGCAACAGAAACTATTCAATTTCATGCTCCTATGGTAAATTTTCATTCTTGATTCCATGTCTTATTATTAGAAATAAATTGGAAAATAGTATATATATAAGATAAACAAATGGAAATTAGATAAAACAACCAAAAAAGTAGAACTAAGCGACCTAAGAATTAAATTAAGGAATAAAAATAATATATTCATGTTTAATTTGAATTTGATATATTAAAGAAAATCTTTTATCCAATTTCTTAGTTGAAAATCATGCAAGATAATTTTCATTAACTAATGATTATGGTTCAATTTTTTTTTATTCATCAGAAGATCCATATATAAAAACATAATACGACTATGTGGAAGATTCAAACAGTAAGTGGGGTATTATCCCCATGCAAACAAACTGGAGCAAAGTTAGTAAGTCACTTGATCACGATAAATCTGCACGTAGAAAAATAGTTATTCATACGATTTTGGTCCAAGAAAATGGAGTGAAAATAGGAGTTAGAAATTACAATGTGCTGATATATCAGTGTAAGCCCAATAACTCAGATTTATATATAAATTTCACTATTAATAGCTATTATATTTAAATAGGTTTTTAAATATAAGGTCAGCCCACCAGATGGAAAAGTGTAAGCTCAACGGCCCAGATCGAATATAGACTAATCTGACAGTCACGACATCATTTCGTAATAAAATTTTAATATTTGTTTGCAAATCTAAATCACATGAAATTTTAGGCGTCCAATCTTCTCTTCAAGACGCACCGAATAAAATTATTTAAAAAATAATTCATAAAATTGAATTAACTAAAATACCCCTGAAAATATTCAGGAGTATTTTGGTCAATTTAATTTTTGTGAAATATTTTTTTGATATGTTTATTAAATTCTCCTATTTATAAAGAATTGATATTTTAAATTCAAGTGATTTGAATTTGTAGAAAGATAAAATAAAATTCAAATACAAAATACAATCGTGACCGTCAAATCGGTCCAGATTCAATCTAGCCCATTGAGCTTACACTGTTCCATCAACCGGTGAGTTGTGTGTGTGTAGAGGTTCTAGGTAAATTTCTCTTAAGAAGATAAAAGCAAGAACAAGGAATTAAAGACAAAACAAAGGAATTCAATTGATAATGCAAGTAATCAAATACTAGATTATCATTAAGACCTCATCATTTTTAACTAGTAAAATTCTTCCATTTAATAAACTTATAAAGGCTAAAATAATAGGGAAGGTCTACAAAGAGACCATTAATCTTTTGTACATAGATGTCACAATCATTGTTGCTCCTTAAATTTCAAAATGGGTAGATGTAAGAGTGTTATTGAATAGATATAAAGTTCCAAAAAACAAATTCTCGGGTTTCCTGACTCACCCAAGACATCCAGTTTGACATCTAATGAGTGGGAACGATTGTGACCTCCATGTACAATAGATAAATAGTCTTTTTATAGACCATCTAAAAATAATACAGTATGGATACCTAAAGATTTTATGATTGGGCTTCTGAAGATCAAATGTAAATTTAGTTAAATTCAAATGTAAATTTAATCAACTTGATATATATATATATATATATAATTTAATTATTTATTTATGTAATAAGGCTCCATGTCTTTATTGAATATGAGCAGGCAGGGTTCACATTTGTCTGGGATGTAACAGTGGTGGGTGGAGAAGTAAGCTACAAGGAGGAGTTCATACCAGAGGATGAGGGCTCATATATAGTCTTGATCCAAAAAGAGAAGAAAATCACAACTTTTGAAGAACCCATCAGAAACTCCTTCCATATTTCAGAGCCTGGAAAGGTAGTGATCACCATTGATAATTCCACCTTTTGGAAAAAGAAAATCCTTTATAGAACAAAATCAAAGAGAACAGTTATTCCTGGGAGCCACAGAGAATTGTCATTCAGTGACCCATATGCATTTCGTGGAATAGAATTGTGATTTGAGAAACTCAAAATGGGGTTGAGGTCATGGTGGTAGTGCCACTTGAGCCTTAGTTATTGGTCTAAGTTTTTATTACCACTGACACATGAAAACCAACAATTATTTCTAAAATGGGTACAGACTTGTATTCCCCATTTATTTACCCGAAAAAACAAAAAAAAAAGTTAAGAATGTAATTTTTTTATTCGTTCATTCATTTATATTGGTTATTGTGGTATGGAGAGAAGAAAGAAAAGAAAAAAGAGGACATGGATTGGCAAGGGGAAGAAGTTGTACATTATTATTTACAATGATGTAATTGTTTAAATTTTCACATCATTTCTTCTCCTTAGTTGTAAATTTCCATTATCCAGTTTCTGTTTAAATCTAAATAAACTTGGATATTTTTTCTTTTTTTAGGTAAGTCAATGGGGGAGAAGGCCCCCTACTTATTATTATTAATAGAAAAGGAGAAAATGCTACTCATAGGTTTACAACCCTACAATAGCGTAATTGTTCCAAATCATGAAGTAATTCATTAATCGAAATGGAGAAAATACAACTCATAGGTTTACAACCCTATAGTAGGGTAATTGTACCAAATTATGAAGTAAAGATAGAGAAATAAAATCCAACGGTCTAGAATTAAACTTAGATATTTTAGTCTGTGCATATGGTACTATCTCATACAAGTACTTTTTTCATTTTCTTCTTCTTCTTTTTTTTTCCCTCTCAAGAAGCTAAGAGTCCAATGCTAAGGAGGGCACCTTCAACAGTGTGATGCACCTTTTCATTTATTTTATAATCTTACTAACAAATTAAAAACTTAAAGAGTCCAACTCGCACTCACCAAGTTATTCACACTCGGCATACTGACTAGCTACAACCAATGTTCAAAAAAGCACCGATTCGATTTGAAACCGAGAGATCCGGACTGAGTATCGGCTTGGTCGTTCCAGATCCAGCCAAAAAAAAGGATTCGACTGTGTCTGTATAGTAAATTGGTCATAAGTCTCACCGAATCTGTTGATTATGACGTCACAACTCATCTCATCTGTTGATTGTCATCAAACCGAGTATTAACTTCATCACACTTTTTAAACTCTGGAGGGTATTTATGTAATTTTTGTTAAAAATGGGAACAATCACAATGGCCACATATGCCTCTCTCAACCATAGCCCCTTAAGTCCACCTGCCCCATGTTCCATCATTTTTTTTCAACTACCCCTGGTGCCACATGCCCCACCATGCTTCATCTTTTCAAACACCCTTAGTGCCACATGCCCATGCTCCATCATGCTTTTAAAGCACACATTTGATAGTGGTACTGAAAAGGCAAATTCACATCAAACTTATGGTATCTTTTTAATGTTGGACTTTTCATCACATTGAATGGGCTAATTATATTTTTTACTTAAGAATTAGACATTTCATCCCATTCCATAGTCTAATTAAAAGATGGAGCATGGGCACACATAATTTGACCGTTGGATATTTCATCCCATTCAATAGTCTATTTTTTGGATGTGGGAAATTTCATTTCATTCTATTTTTTATCTAGAAATATATGGTCTAATTATATTTTTTATTTTTATGAGCCTCTTACATAAATTTAAGAAATATTAATTTAGTTTTTTAACCTAAGAATACACGGTCTAATTCTGAGTTTTTTATGACTCGGCAGACTGACAAGCTCGAGCGAGTCCGAATTAGAGCCTTGTCCCATGTCTTCTTAACTATTTAAACTTTGAATTTTATTGGAGTGGTATTTTAAATACCATCTCTCCCATGACAGTCATTTCATTCCTTTCTTATCAGTTTTGGCTTAGAGTGTATGCTCCCCACAAGGATACATAGAAGTATAGAGTAGTGGTGTCGGGATCGAGCCTGTCACCTAAGGTGTCTAGTGCAATCAACTGGACTGGTTTTTTCAAAAATAAAGAAAACTAAGAATAAAGTTTAAAAACATAGGGTGCATTACACAGTTACTAACTGGACTAGTCTGGTTGAACGTAAAAACCATGTGTAGTTGAAAACTAGTTAAAACCAATATTGTTTGGTTTTGATTGGTAAGAGCTGCCGATTTTAACCGGTTCAATAGGAGAAACGAATGGAAGTTTTTTCAACTATTAGATCTATCTTTTTGCTTTTCTTTTTTTTGTAAAATCAAGTCCAACCGGTTTGTCAGTAATTTGACCGGTTTGGCTTGGACCTAACTGCTAACCAGATCAGTGGCCAGTCTCATCTTGATAACAAAGTATATTACAAAGAAGATGTATAACTTTGTTTAACTGGTTTGATTGATGAAAATCGATCATCCAACCAGCCAAAATCACTCAAATATTAATTTTGATCAATTGTAACTAAATTATTTTTATTTTGGATTGGACTTATTAAAGAATCGGTTGATAGTTCGGCCAGTTGGACCAAGAAGTCAGGTCTACCGTCTTGATAACTATGGTACAAAGTTTAAGCTTAAGCAGCTCCTTACCCTATGATTCATTTCTTAGCTCATAAACATCATATTCCATCTGGACTTCTAACTTTTACTATCTGCAAATTATAGTTAGGATCCAGTTTCTATGCGGCCAAGCCAGCATATGTAGAAATGCGGCCCAATTAATAAATCTATTTTTTAGATGGATTTTTTGACGTAATTTTTAAGGACATGTAATCTCTAACATGAAGATCATGAGTATGAAAAAATAAGTAAATTTTTAAAACTATAAATAATAATTCTAGTAAGAAAACATTTAGACCGTTAGTTTCCATTGTTTTTAGATAGAACACCTACTTGCATCCGTATCTAAGATGGATGCTTTACACTTTTTGGATCGCATATGTAGTCATGCGGTCCAGCCGCATGAAACAATTCTCCTTATAGTTATTAAAACTTTTTTTTTATGAATACAAAAAAGGAAAGTACATAAAGAGACCATTTAACTTTAATACAATGAGGTCACAATCATTTTTTTTTTGTCAGATTTCAAATCAAATGGTTGTGAGTGTATCATTGACTAGACTCTTAGTTCAAAAACATATTTCTTAAACTTTGTGACCCACCCCAAACCATTGAATTTGACATATAATAGTTAGTACCAGCGTTTTAAAAAACGCCGAGTCGAACCGGACTCGCCGGTTCGACTCGGAATTGGCGAAAAGGGACCGGATAGGTTGAAAAATCGGAAATCGTCCGGTTCTAGAGAGAACCAGACGATTCCGCACAGTGACTCGCCGATTCACTGTACGGAATCGGTGAGTCCGTTCGGTATTTTTTTTTTTTTTTTTTTTTTTATTTTATTTTTATTTTTT